GGGGGAGGGAGAGGGAATATTTTTTGAGGCATAACGAGGAGCGTAAGTGGATTCATATTTGAGTCTGCTGTATTCGAGGAACTGAGTCAGGCATCTTCATCTGCCATAGCCAATAAAGCGGGGTAACATCCCTAGGACAAAAGCAAACTCATTGCTCAAGACCTAAAGCTAGTTAAGAATGGGGCTATGACTAGAACCCAGGCAATACTGACCCCAAAATCTATGCCCTTTCTGCTGAAACTCAAACAGACTAGTACAAATGGAAGATACTCCTGGATTTTTCAATATACTTTTCCTTTATATTTGTTTTCTCTTTCTTGGTTAAGTAACAGTTCCAAGTACAGCGATAACATCATCTCCTAGTTTATGGCTTACCTCTTCTCTTAGACCAGAGATTCTCAAAGTATGGTCCCTACATCTATGCAGTAAGGGAATCTGGCCAACATAGTCAACTGAGTTCATCACTAATAAGAGTAAATAACAGCAAGCTGATGTCATTGATGGGACAGAAAAGCAGAAAGTCAGGGGGGAAAAGCAATAAAAATCCTTATGCATGACTTGGATTAACAATTTGTTTAAATTAGGGTATAATTGAGACAACATTATATTAGGTTCAGGTGTACAATATAATGATTCCACATTTGTCTATACTGTGAAATGATCCCACAATAAGTCTAGTTAACATCAACAATTATTAAATTCCCTCACCTCTAATAAGAGATGCACCCCATAATCATCTCTACCACTGCCCATGCCCAACACCAATAAAAACACTTTTACACTCACCTTCTTTATCAGTAACTGACCAGGAGTATTTTTGAAAAGGCTTACTAGACGGAAGTGGGTCCATCTCCAGCACTTTATAAATCTGGCCAAAGGCTGACAGTCTCAGTGCATGCTGAAGAACAAAAGATTATAGTTATTCACATTTCAACAGCCATTTATAAAGCCCTTTTATAAAGCCCTTAGAACATCTAGCTAAAAAGACTATTCATTTAACGCTAAAGTTATGATGGAAAAGTCCCCTTAACAATAGTCAAGAAAATAGTGTTTAAATAGAAAAACTCAGAAACTAAAGTGATGATATCCCTCTAATAGATCACAGTGATGTGCCCCATCTTCTACCTGGGCACTATGGGTAATATCTTCTTTTTGCTGGATGGTCATATAGCTCAGAGCATCTGTTGGATCTCGCTCACAAGGATCATGAAGACCAGGACCCCCTTTGGCAAAGGCAAAAGAAAGACACAAGTACCACTTAGAACTGAGTTTAGAATTCAATAAACAGAGAAAAAGGGAATAGAGGGGGAAAAAACTGAGAAACTACATCTGCTTAATTAAATGGATTACAAAGGACACTCTCATTTTCAATATGTTAGCACCTATATGTCCTCATTTTACTGGAAGTCACATATATCTAAGGTCAACATTTGGTCTTACTTTGAGAATTTAGACACAGCATGATAAATCATCCCAAATCTTTAAAGGGATTACATATAGAAAATAAAACCAAATTTAATGTTTCCAAATTAAACACCAGAGTGCAAACAGAGTGAACTTAATACATTTTAACCAAACATCTGCATTTTCAAATTCAGAGCCCAAGGTAAAGCAAATTCATGGCAGACACAATATCTTATTAGTACCATTTATGTTAGTATATATAAAACATAAATTACATTTATTGAAACAGTTTTATATTTCAACATACAGATATCCTATTTTCCTATTTGCTAAAATTCCAAGTAAAACAACTCCTACATATCACTTTCTGGTGCAGAGGATAAATTTAATAAGGATTTAGAAAAATAAACCAAAATGTGATTTTTCTGATTCTTCTGCCTCCAGAGTTTGAAACCCTTACCAGGAAGTAGTATTCCAGATGCCAAACACTCCATTACTCGTCTCAAGGCCTCCCCAGCGCCCAAAGGTCTATTACAAGTACCTATAGACTTTTCACATATAAGCTCTAGTGGCTAGAAGATATTAAATTACAAATTAGTACATGCATCAAGTGTTAAAAGGATTCCAGTTAAATGTGAGCTGACATTTCTATCTACAATGAAGGCCAAAACCATGAAAGTCCATTTATGATTTAGGACTCAATTAACTTTTCCCCTTTGTTTATTAACCTTTAACCCAGCTAGTGTTTTAAATCTACCATTTTTGAGATAATATATTCAGAAGACATTTTGTTATAAAACTTGAGTTACCCTGAAAAGATCACTTAAGAAATTGTGGTCACTTAACTGATTTAATAAAAATATAACAAGCCTTCATATAAGTTAGTAATAGCTAATAACTAATCAATATTCAAACCCAACCCTATCTCCCACATAACCTAGGAAACACTTAAACCACAATAAGACTTCATTTCAGACAGCCTGCCTCAAGTACTACAATTAGAATAAATGAAGGACCAAATCTCTATATTTAATAAATTAAAAACTGATGATACTATATGAAAGTTATAATTGCTAGACTAATTTAAAATGACCCTTTAATCCGGCCAGTGTTGCTCAGTGGTTGAGTGTTGACCCATGCACCATGAGGTCACAATTTGATTCCTGGTCAGGGCACATGTCTAGTTTGTGGGCTCGATCCCCAATAGGGAGCGTGAAGGAAGCAGCCCATCAATGGTTCTCTCTCATCACTGACATTTCTCTCTCTCTCTCTCCCTCTCCCTTCCTCTCTGAAATCAATCAATCAATAAATATATATATATAGTTTTTTAAAATGGAAGCAGCACTGAAAGAGCAATGTGCCAGTCAAGGAGCTTTCATGGGCAGTAGTGAATAGTGCAGAGCAAAGTGCAGAAAGACATTCACTTCTAAAAGATATAGAGGCTTTTTGTCAGAGAAAAAAATCTCAGGCTCTGTAACATGAATTATGATAAGGTAAAAGAGACATGTTACATACATAAAAACGAATTCATATGAAAAGGTGCATAATTTTTTTCCAAAACAAAAATAGGCAATGCATACCTCAGCTAACTCAGAATATAGCTATTTCAGAGTAATATGTAATTTCTACAGGATTTTCTCTGACTTTACTTCAGAATTTGCTTTTAACTGTATTTAAGTACTTACCCATCCTTTTAATGGTGCCCATGTGGGGACTCTGTTGCACAAATCACGCAGAATACGAAGGACAATGACACACGATTTTAATCCATTTGCCCTTGCCTAAAACAAACAAAGTGATTCCAATATCCTTGTTGAAATCCATTCTTTATTTAAGCACACTGATCATGGATAGGCTCTTTAAAGTGAATACTAATTAGTCAATCATAATCAGTTGTCAAACAAATTTAAAAAATAAAGTAAAATTATAATTCAGAACGGCAGGTTTTAAAGTAAAGGAAGCATACTATTAAAATTGCTTTTATAGCCTCATGACAACACACCATTCTGGGCCACTATCTTAAGTTTTCACTTTTCTCGCCCATGTTTGTATTTTATAAGCCACGATTTGAAATTCAGAGTGCTAAGCTGAAAAGGATTATATTATAATTAAACATCAACTATATAGTAGAAGCCATACTAGGCATTTTACCTAAATTAACTCATTTACTCTTATAACCCTATAAGGTAGAATACCCCACGTTATAATTTACACAGAAATCATTAAGTGGCAAGTATGAAACCTATGCAAGGCTATATCAACAGTAAGATAAAAACAAAGAGCCAACCTGAAACCATTTGGCATGTCGAAGAGACGCCAAGGCGTTCAGGCATTTCTGCCTGTCCAATAAGTCTGGAGGATCTTTCATCGCAACCTTTTCTAATGGAAAAATGGGATAGAGAGAGACACATACAATTTGACCAAGGAGTTCCTGTCAAATTACCAAACAATAAAATTTTTTTAAAAGAGCAGCATTTGAGTTAACTAATAAGACTCCCAGAAGATTTCATGATTTGGTTTAGTTGTTTTTTTAAAGTTACATGCACTATGATTACTTAAGTAAAAAGTCATCAGAGCCATTCTGTGCACAAGTAAACAGGAGCACAAAGGCATTCAGTCAGTAAACAAATCAATGATCACTGCTACATACAATCTGGGATCTTATTAAGCACATATAACATCAAAGGGCACAAAATAGGTACATAGCACTTGTTCCTTTGGCTGGGTGCAAAGAGTGCAAATCTGGGACTAATAGTAATTATAACTATTTTTTATAGAAGGAATCTTAATCAATTCTTAAGGAAAACTGGGGCTCTTTTATATAATCAATTTGAGATATACTACGAATACACTGCGTATAGCAATTTTATTTTTTTACAACTAAATAAACTTATCCAACAAGATAGCCATTAACAGAAACTTTACCCCATTGATGAAAACTGTTCAAGGGTCACATTGGAGTTCCCTCATTATTTCTTTTCTAAGCCAAAATTATCAAAACTATAAAAATGAAAAACACTGAAATACATTTCAATTCTAAATTATATAAATTTTTTAAAGGCAGCAAAGAATACTATCTAATTACAGCTATTTGACTTGCCTTAACATTTTAAATTTGGATTAGAGGGCCCAAAGCAGCAAAATTAAGAATTCAAACATGTGATTAATGAAAAATATCCACACTTGAGAAAATGTCACATGATACTAAATCCAAGTTTAAGAGCCAAATATATTCCCTCTAAGCTATTACTGAGTGGGATTTCAACTTTTTGAAGACTTGGTGCATTATTTAAATGCAAACAAAAACTACAAATGTTTTTGGGGGAGAAATTTTGTCTAGCCCAATGAAGTCAGATTCACCATTCTCCTTTAAGAACTTTTAGATTTAGGAAAGTCCACCAATACTTCTTCCTAGCATTATCATAATAATGAGAATTGGTAGTATGCTGTGTGGGCTAATTGATACAATGTAAATATTTTTAAATAAGAGGCAGATAACTGATAATTTTTGGTTTCCTCATTTACAGGATTCCATTATGACATATATTCTAATTGGTAGCTTGCCATTAACTAAAACTGAAGGCATAATGCCCAGAAAACAAATCTTTCAGAGGAAAAATTGGGGTTTTCTATAGCAGTGGTCACCAACCGGTGGTCCGCAGACCACTGGTAGTCCATGAGGTCCGAAAGGTTGGCGACCGCTATTCTATAGGTTGCAACATTCTAAAGGCTGAAGTGCTATACACTTATTTTCTGACCCGGTGAGCTCTACACCAGATATTTGCATTGATTCACATTAACCTCTGCCAACAAATTCACAACACAGGGCCTCATTTCACTACCCCCTTTTATTCAAAAATTGGGCAGCCTCAAAAAGTATAAATGTGGATTCATTTATAACCATAAACAAATATACTATGGATTTTCACTTCATAGGTGATCTAGTTCCTGGACTTGCTCAATTTTGTCTTTACAATGACACAAACATACAACTAACTCGTTTTAATGTTATGTCAAGATGTTTAACTGTGGTCAATGCAAGCATCTGCATAAAGCTCACATACCAGATCAAACAAACTACTACAAATGAATGATTAGAATCTCTTAAAAGTTAGACATGACAAAGGTTGACTGACTGCTAAGTAATGTAATCCCCAAAGAAGGTATGGGCTGTACTTATTTTTTTAAAATCTCAATCTCTAAGAATGAAGCAAGCTTAGTTTTAGTCTATCATCTTACCAAGTAGGAGTTGGGAAGGGGGACGGGATAATGCAAGAGAGAAGGGAGGCAGAGGAAGTTTGGATAGGAAAAGACAAGGAAAACCAAAACTCTTTTTGAACTTTCTGGTACTTTTGTCCAATGGTCAGAACTTGTAAATAACATCTCATGCTCATTACAAAACATATTTTTAAAGGGGGACAATGGCAAAAATATGAAGATAAATTATTTCATCCCAAAAGTCAGATTACAACCACAAACTCTTTTAAAAAAAAAAACAACAACAACAGAGGCATCAGCTTGCTACAGACAGTCAACATTTGGAGGCAATAGTTTCCACTAAGACAAGATGGAGGAGCAGGCAGTGAACAGAAGACTTGTACCAGATTCCCATTCACATCACCATCAGAATGGCTATGTTTCTTCCTGCTCTGATAGTCAAAATGTCAAAAGATCCAAAATGTTTTAATATTCATGAGGTGGGACACAGTAGAGGAAATTCATCTCATGTTATCTTCCTCAAAGTTTCTTATTTTAAAACCATGTGAATTCATTCATATGGTAACCAGTACCTGTAAGCCCTGCTTCCCTATTTCCTTTATATATGAATAACATATAGTTTTATATATTTTCATTCATTGAGAAAAATAAATTACTTAATGTGGCAATCATAGAATTGCTGCTGGAAAAACACCACTACTTCTAATAGCGGAACTTCAAGTTTAACATTTTTTAACACACTTCAATGTAAGTGTTTCATTTTTGTGGGGAAGCAAAGCTTTTCTGATAAAAGGCAACTTGGAGTCTTTAAATTAGAAACAATGGAACTGTGAGACATTCCATTTTTTCCTACATTGATCAGTAAAACTAATTAAGAAATAGAATTGGAATTTTAAAAAAAAGAAAAAGAAAGAAAGAAAAGAAAAGAAATAGTATGGGGAATGGGCATGGGAAGTGACAAAAATGCCCCCCAAAACCATAAAAAAAAACACACACAAAAAAACAAACAGCTTGTAAAAATTTATTGCTCAGTAACCTGGCATCAGGGCATGAAGCTACACAAAGCATTCTGAACAATGGAAGCACTGGAAAAGAAGCCTATTGTGCCGAACTTTATTTTGGTTAGAGGTTAGATCAGTGACCAGAAACACACCATACTACAGGAAATGTTGGTCAGTTTCTCTCAATTCATACATGCATGCTAACTCTCTTCCCATTAACAAAAACACTAGCCTGGACACTGGATAGAGAAAAGCCAGAACATGACTGTAAACAGGAGTCATATGTCTGGAACCTGGGCTCTTCAAAGGTGAAATAATTGAGCTGGGTCATCATGAAGGCCTCCTTGACAATATGGGTGAAGCTGAGCTACTGAGTACGTGCCGATAGAATGTTCTGGTTAGCCTAAAAATATGCTAGCAGCCCCTTCTCTCAATTCCTTGAGGCTCTGTGGAGAGCAGACATTATGCTTCAAACCGCTATCCATGCAAAACATCAAGCCACAATAACGTACACAGGTAAATGCAGCACTAAGGGAGATCAGAGAGACTGTTTTCTTAATTTCTGGTAGAAATGTCACTCGGTATAACTTTTTTTTTCAATGCCTTGTTAGACAGTTGGCCACTGGATTTTAGATCTAGCAACTGGAAAAGGCAGGAAAAGAAAGCCCGCAGCATCATTATAATCCCAGGTGTGATTTCTGGATTGTAAGAATCTAGTTACCTTCACCTAGCAGGACGTATGCCAGTGAACATTTGTCAAGATGCACCGGAAGTTTACACTGGCGCTGATATGTGAAAAGGGACTCTTGGGCAACCTCTCTGTGAGCCCCTAAAAATCTCCCCAATACCAAGGGCAGGGGGTTGTCTTAACCTAAGCCACACAACTCTGTCGTTTCCCTGTCCACCTGGTTTCAAACTGCATTGTAAATGGAATAAACAGTTGATTTATTACCCTCATAGCAAACAAACTGCTTGTTTAAAATCACAAACACCAAAAGAAGCTGAGACTGTGTGATGCTCAGAATAACCAAATCAGCTAAGACGCTCCTACACTCATCCTTGACAGCAATGGGAGCATGGACAGCACAATGGACTTGTAAGAGCTGGGTCCAATGTGATACTTTCTCATTTATAAAACAGGGCAATTATCTACCCAAGAGGGCTGTTCTGAGGGTTAAAATGAGTCATATGAAAAACTGCTAATAAAACAGTTAAGTTATTTTATACCCTGACAGAGCTTGAATTCTGACATGCCCAATGTTAATGCTTCTTACATACTAGACCAGCGGTTCACAACCTGTGGGTCGCGACCCCTTTGGCGGTCGAACAACCTTTTCAGGGGTCGCCTAAGACCATCCTGCATATCAGATATTTACATTACGATTCATAACAGTAGCAACATTGCAGTTATGAAGTAGCAACGAAAATAATTTTATGGTTGGGTCACAATATGAGGAACTGTATTTAAAGGGCAAGAAGGTTGAGAACCACTGTACTAGACAGTCCTATTTAATCAAACAATATGCTGGCTACAAAAATTCATCGGACAGATTTTCTTAAATTGCCTACTATGTATTAGGTATCATCCTAGGTGCTAGGGGGACAGGATAAGGGTAGAGAAAAAGATACCTGCCCTCAATAAATCACAAGCTATATAATACGCAAGCCATTAGCACTGTAGCAAGTACAAATTACTGATTCCAATGCTGCACTTCAATGGGGCTTTAGGTTCAGTTCTTCAGACCCATTATGTACACATTATTATCACTGTGAGCTCAAGGCAGTTTGAGTATGTAAGCTTGTGTTATGAATCTTTTTCATAAGCTACCACTATTTACTGAGCAACTACTTTGTGCTGAGTATTGTATAGGTCACATTACATAAACTCTTTCATTTAACCTCAAACAACTTTCTGAAGTATTTATTATCCACATTTTTAAATTAAGAAATCTGCCCCAAGGTCACACAGAAATAGTAACTAATGGAATTAAGAATCGAACAACTGATTGCCAGACACCAAGGTCTGTGCTTTTTAGCAGGAAGCATGTAGTAAAGGGGAAGGGTTATTCAGGTAAAGGGTTAGAATATAAAAATGTAAGTAGTGACCTGAAATAGGTAAAGAAGTGGACCTAAGGAGGTCAAGTGTAATGCCCTCAGCTGTCCCAGTTCTCTCTGTTCTCAACCACACTTTATCCCCTTTTTTAGATTTTACCCAAATATGTACCAGGTGAAGACAAGGAAGAGAAAAATGTGAAATATATATATATCTACACTAATAAAAGAGAAACATGGTAATTAGCGTACGACCACTACCCTTTTCATTGGCTAATCAGTGAGTATATGCAAATTAACTGTCAGCCAAGATGGCGGCCGGCAGCTGGAAGCGAACATGAGGCTTGCTTGCTTCAGTGACTGCGGACTCCAACGTTCCCTGCCTCACTTGCCGGCCTCTCAGCTGCAACTCTAAGCAACTATGTACTATGTTGCAAATAAGAAGCTAAACAAAACCCCAGAAACCGGCTTTCATTCAGCCGGGCTTTAGCAACATTGTATCGATGTTTTCAGAGGCGAGGCCTCAGAGCTAAAGCTGGCCCAGAATAAAAAAATAAAAAAAAGAAAACAAGGAGCTGTTGGAAGCTTTAGTCACTTGCTTCCGGAAAACAGCCCTCAGCCCCTCACCCAGACTGGCCAGGCACCCCAGTGGGGACCCCCACCCTGATCCAGGACACCCTTCAGGGCAAACCAGCCGGCCCCTACCCATGCACCAGGCCTCTATCCTATATAGTAAAAGGGTAATATGCCTCCCGGCACCGGGATCAGCGAGGCTCCCGGCACCAGGATCAACATGACAGTGACGGGGGCAGCGCCCCAATCCCCTGATTGGCCCTGCTCTGTGCATGACAGGGGGTGGCGCTGCAACCTCCCCATCAACCCTGCCTTGAGTGTGACAGGGGGCGGTGCCCCAACCCCCCAATCGGCCCTACCCTGAGCGTGACTGAGGGTGGCATCGCAACCTCCCGATCCACCCTGCTCTGTGCATGACGGGGCGGCGCCCCAACTCCCCAATTGGCCCTGTTCTGAGCCTGACCAGGGGCTGCACCTAGGGATTGGGCCTGCCCTCTGCCACCCGGAAGCAGGCCTAAGCCAGCAGGTGGTTATCTCCCGAGGGGTCCCAGACTGCGAGAGGGCGCAGGCTGGGCTGAGGGACCCCTCCCCCTCCCCCCGAGTGCACAAATTTTTGTGCACCGGGCCTCTAGTATATATATATAAAATAGTCTGTTTTGTGGGAAGGGGAGAAGTTGAGATTCTACAGAAAAATACTCTTTGAAATATGTTCCATGTACTTTTAACTCTGAGAAAGAAAACAAGTGGAGATTATTTTTAAAGGGAAATTTATCAGCCTTAGAAATTCCTGGAACCCTAATAATCTTGTGCTTTCGCCCCCTACAGCTGGGAAGACCTGCATCAGAGGGAGGAGCTGTCTAGTATAAGGAATCAAGACCTACAGCCTAGGTCTCAAATACTCAGTTATGCCGGATCCTCAAATTTTCCCAGGAATACACAAAACTTCTAGCACACATAAGGAAAAAAAAACTGTCTTTGACAAAACCCAGGTTAAACAAAATGAGCAAACTGGAAGAGATAACAAGTGAGTCAAAAGGGCTAGGAGGTTGAGGACAACAGCAAAGCAAATCTTCCTGCCATTCAAAAGAAGAGGAAGTAACATGTATAAAACATCGGAGCCAAGCTGATTCTTTCACTTTCCCTGATCCCACACCAACTATGTTAACACCAACTAATGGAAGTCAGCCCTTAAAAGGTCTTGGGATCCTTCAGTAACCCAAACATCTTGAACAAACACTGACTCTCCTATTTTAGCACAAGTTCCATCCCATAACTAGTCTTCTGGTGAGGATGCAATACAAGAATCTGTTTTCAGTTTCCCCAAACAGAAATTAAAAAAATTAAAGCAACAGACTAAGCTTAAGGGTATCACTGAAAACTATAACAAAACCCCATGTAAGTACACAAAACCATGGGAAAAAAGAAGTCTGATGTTGTCTTAATATTTTCAAAGAGGTAATGGAAGGGACGCCTACAGCTACAAGCAAACATAGAATTAATATCGTCGTTGGCAACTGCAGTCTTATTCTCGTCTCTCTATACTCAAATAATTTTTTAAAATACCTATAATTATAACTCTACTTAAAAATGGTTAGTTTTACACTAGGGGTGTCAAGTAGAACACAGCTTACCAGAATTAACAGAATTATCTTGATACTTCAGAAATCATTTTATAGTTCTACAGTTAATGGTGAACTGAAAAGCTGTTAAAGAAATTAAGCCATTTAAGATTGGTTCTTCAGAGGTGTTAGAGACACTATATATAGCAAAAAAACAGTACATGCATAAACCCAATTATAGATTGGATGCACTTTAAATTTAAACTATAACTCATAAATGTATCTAGTTTAGATTGTTGGGTTTGGTATAGCTGATTTTAGCTACCCCAAAAGCTTTTTAAAAGGAGTCTATCACATGTCTGCCAAAACTCAAAGTTCTAACATGGCTGGTAAATGTCTTTGTCTACCTTTACCGTCAACTTGAAATTAATTAAGAAACTGACCAATATTTCTTACTGCACTGGCATTTCAGGTAGGGGGGTAAGCAATGGGACTTGTTAAATGTCTAGTGATGAAAAGGAGCAATAGAAAGTCTCCATTGGCCCAGACAGGCTGGACTGCCTCTAAATTGTCATGACAGAGAGAGGGCGGTTGGTCAAAGGTCTGACACAGGAGAAATATCACAGGTCAAGTTTGTAGGGACAGAACTGAGAGGCGGAAACAAGCTAACTTGACAGAATAAAAACACCAGAAAAAGAAGTTCGGCTCCATCATTACTTCTCAAAACTGAATAGGTTTCTCACTAAGGATGACACTGCCATACAGGAATTTTTTTTAACTTCAGAAGAAAGTTAGTTTAAGGCATGATTCCCACATACATCATAATCAAAATGTTAACAGGATCACAAACCTCCTAGAAAAAAAACTTACTAAAGGTTAATTTTAAAAATTCAATCCCCCAATTTATATCTTACATTATAAAACATATTTACATATGGGCAATTAGGTAAAGCATAAATCTTATAAGGTTATATATAGTTAATAGAAGTCAAGAGCAATGTACGAATGAGTAATTTTAACAACTGAATAAATATGAAAGTATTGTTTGGTCCACATTTAATCCTAGAGTCAGACCTAATAGCCAACTCTACCGAATAGGTTGAACGACAGCAATAACAATGCAATACCATAACGCCAAAAGAGTATAAAATTAGTTATGACCAACATGGTAAGCACAAGTTTCTCAATTAACATATTTTATATTTCAAATATATACATTTTTGCAAAATAGTGATTTATGTAGAAACAAAGCTGTTTAAAATACTATGAATGGCATAAACAAATGAAGACAGTTATTTCATAAATCTATAAAGCATAGTTAATATAGCACTAAAGAGGTCTTTCATGAACAAAACAAAATAAAAATATATGTGTATGTACCTCCATCCTTTTTCTCCAATTCATCCCTAATTAGAGGGGAAGTAAGTATCACCTTCAAAGTTAGCGTGGGCTCTTTTGTATTCCGAATTATAATAGATGCCTCATCTACACATTGTTCCACTTCATATTTCTCTTCTGTGAGTTTCTGAAAGTCACAAAGATTTCAAAACATCCAATTAATTAGATTAAATTTTCAAAAAATGAATGACTATCCCTTAATTTCCAAGTGTTATTAACTACTAGTAATACTGTGCCAAGAGAGTGAATAAAGTCTTTAACTAGTTCTTTAGGGATAACATTTCTCTCTCCTTCCAACTTATCAGCAAATCCTTTCTCCATCCCTCAAAAAGCAACCATAATGTCAACTCTCTATACAATTATAAACAGTATTTCAATTCATTCTTTGTAATATTTGAATGTAAAATAGCAACAGCATCATTATATTATAAACAGTAAATTACTGGTTTTTTACATTATTACAGAGAACTATTGTAGAAAAATAAATCGCTGGGAATGCTCTCTAAACCAATACGTTTTTTGATAGGACAGCCTAAAAAGGAACTCCTACTTACCAAGGACTTACAAATTTAAGATTATGTAGACTTTTATATAAGATTATATAGATTTCTAAAGAGAATCAAGAATGAATAAGAATCTCTACAGTCACTAACCAACAACAACAACAAAAATAGTATAAACAAGTAACTTCCCTTCTCTAACTATAGGTCTCAGAGATCATTCCAGTGAGGCCCATCTCTATGGGACAAATTATCTGACACCCACAGGGAAATAAATGTATACTACTTCTTTCAATATACAACTATATGCAATTTAAGAACCTTCCACAAAATAATCACCAATTAGAATCACATAAGTTGTATTTAATGTATTATAATACACACACACACACACACACACACAGACACACACACATATATATATATATATATATATTTTTATTACACAGGGCCTTTCTTGGAGGTCGAAATTTAGTACCTATTATCTGATATAAATAGGTAAATGAAAACACTACTGGGTTTCTGCTCATCATTGCACATTAAAAGAACTCAGAGTCATTTACATAAAAATAGCATTTTACCATTAAACATTTCAAAAAATGATAGAAAATAGAAAATTCATTATCTACTTTTGAATAGAGGAAGCCAAGGAAGGGAAAGGCCACAGAGTAACTGGAAAAAACAGAACTAGAATATAAAGAAAAAGCAGAAAACTGCTCACATTCATTTTGCCACTATAAGAACATTAAAGATGTCCATCAGAGAATGAGTCAAACTAAATTTTTCAATTATTCATGCAGATCACCATAAGACAGATCCAAAGTAATAAGCATATGGTGTTAAGTTCTGGACTAGACCAGGGGTGGAGAATGCCCAGCCCGAGGGGCCGTGTAAGGCCTGAAAAATCATTTGGTCTGGCCCTGCCAAGGCATTAGGGGTGAGTTAATTAAATGTTTGACCAAATATAGCAGCTAATTTTTAAACTGATAATTTTGTATGGCCTGTGGATGATGTTATAACTATCCAAATGGCCTTTGGCAGAAAAAAAGGTTCCCCACCCTTGCATTAGACTAATTATAAGTGATTTCTGGTTTGGGTCATTCTTCTCCTCCCTTCTTGCTCATGTAAGTTCTAAAATCACCTTAGGAAAAAAATATGGAGAGAAAAGGTACAGTACAACCTCAATTAATTAAGGTACTTAGCTAACTGAAAGTTTTACTATGGTAAGTGCTTAAAAAAAGAAAAAGATTTTTAAACTCATAAAAAAATAAGATAAGAAATTGGTTTTCAACACAAATACCAAAAAAACAAGGGGGAAGCAGTGAGTAAAAGTAGAAATCATCCTTAAAATGATTTTCTGAAACATTATTAGTAATAGTAATAATAATGTGTGTGTAACTTATATGTATATATTTGGGCACATGTGTGTGAACATGTATACAATCTAATGAGAGGGATGTACAATTACATCCCCATTTTATGTGGGTACCTTTACCCAGCACCTATAGTAATGGATCTAACCATCACACAAAGCAGCTGGTTTCACCATTGGATAGCTTCACTGGCTATATTAAATTGAAATGTTTCTCATAATTTTCATTATTGGTCTTCATAGTTCAGGCCTCTTTTTTTTAAAATATATTTTATTGATTTTTTACAGAGAGGAAGGGAGAGGGATAGAGAGTTAGAAACATCGATGAGAGAGAAACATCAATCAGCTGCCTCCTGCACACCCTCCTACTGGGGATGTGCCCGCAACCAAGGTACATGCCCTTGACCAGAATCGAACCTGGAACCCTTCAGTCCGAAGGCCGACGCTCTATCCACTGAGCCAAACTGGTTAGGGCAGTTCAGGCCTCTTTTAACCTTCTCCAAGAAGCCCTTCATAGACCTAAAGCTATTTGAGTCTTGTTTAGTCTTCTCTTGACTAAAAAGCTCCAATCACTTTAAATCTGAACTGGTTTATACAGCCTGCCCTCTCTCTTGCTCCCTCCCTTGACACTTGCTAGCTCAAGAAGAGCATTTTAAAACTGTGGTGCCCAGAAATAAAGACACACACACACACCCTCCTCAGGAAAGGGAAAAAATGCTGTTCACACAGTTGTGGTCTGCACAGAGAAAGCTCTATTAATTCAAACTGAAGCTTGGCCCAATCTCCTGTATCTTCAATACCAGAAAAATGTGATAGACTTTCAGAATAAGAACTCTGATTTATTACAGCACTGGTTTCTCAAATCTTTTTCCACCCTAACACATGAGGAATATGACCACTCTCATAACAAACAGGACTCACTAAAGGAAACAGAAAGGGGGATGAAATGGTTGAAAAAGACTTTAATATAACCACCCATTTTATTATTACTTTATTATAGATTTAAGTGTACACTATTCACTATACTAAAAGCAGAAATATAGATTAAATTTTAAAGCAATATAAAAAATAACGGAAACAAGAGGAATTTTATTAACATTCTAATGACAAAAAGTATAGTTAGCCAGAAACCCGTTATTGAGCTTTCTGTTTCTTAAAACTTTATGTATTTCATGTTGCTTGCCACTTTCCCTCTCCAAATGATCACAAAGGGCCTTAAAAAATTTTTTTAAAGAAATAAATTTAACCCTAAAAAGACCAGAAACATTTCATCAGAATCAAAAATGGAAAAGCCAAATGTTTATACAGTCACTTAAAAAATTATGTTAAGATCTAAGAAAGAATGATAAAGCAGATGCTCCAAAAATTAATATAGGGGAATATGTCAACAAGTAATACAATTTGACTGTTAAGAATGCTAGATTAAAAAACCAGAAAGATGGTTTTGACAACTTGTTGGTGAAAATGAAAGAAAGTGATCTACTAACAAAGCCAATTAAAAAGCAAGCTTAAAATTCCTATTACTTAAAGGGGGGGGGGCCTTTTTAGAAGAAATACAAATTACTAGTAAAAACCAACGAAGGGAACATTCAACAGCTCAAAGTTTGTACCTTGTAGACTGGTATATATTTATTTGACATGGATATAAGGACTAACTGATATGAAATCATCAAAAAGCCACAATCTAATAATACCACAATAACATATCTGAAACTGAAAAGTGATCATGGCTTCTCAATTAGTGATGCACTGGTCCTCAGAGTAGGTAGCAGCGTGGTCCTAGGGTTGCCTTCAGCCCTGGGGAGCTTTCAGCCTTCAGCAGCATCCTCCAGGAAGTATGCTACATTAAAATTTTCTGAATGCATCACCAGGTAAAAAAGGTTTGGAAACAAGAAATTAACAGTGACTTTGCAATAAAAGAATGAGTGGGTGACTGTTAAATTAACTGAGTCTTCGATATTAAATATTACCATCTATGCAAGTCTCCAGTTGCCTCAGCTCTTTTTTATCTTTCAATTCTTTTCTGTTAGTATATTACTAACCCTTCCAAGAGTTTCACAATGCTGAGAGACCTGGTCTGTACAACAGGAAGGCTCTCAACAAGACACACCTGAAAAATTTAAGACTGTACCTTAACAGCCATCTTAACTTGATAAATATATCCAGAGTACTCATCACCAGAAATTTGCTTTATATGTGATGGATGAGTCATTGATCCAGAGAAGCAACATTCCTTTTGTTTGTACCCTTTACTATTACCGATTTCTTGTTATTGAATTCAAGGTCACTACCTATTTTCACCTTTTTACAAATTATCCTAGAGGTGCAATTAAACTGTACTCACCTGAATCTGAATAGGAAGATTATCTTTGACTGTATTTAACAGGGTCTCTGTGGGTTTGTCTTTGCACATTAAAACCAGCTCCAAGTCCATATCATCTTTAATCAGCAAGCCTTTTGCAACCAGGCCAATTCTCATTACACCACACAATGTCCGACCACCTTGATCCCTAAAAATAAAAGTCTGAATGATTATTTTTACAACCTATTTCCTGACTAAAACTTAATCATTACTTGGTTTTCTGGCTATCCATGTGAAAGGGAGTATATAAATCCAGATATCCGAAATTCCATAAAATTAAGTCTGCAATTTAAGGCTCATATAGTATCAACCTTCCCCAAGAAATCATTAGGGAGCATATTTCAGACAAAAGATTTAAAAATTTTTCATCACATCTATATTGCTCAGGAAAATACAAAATACTGCATCTCGATCTTAAACACTTTTTCAAATTAAAAAATTCTTCCTATTATCTTTTTATTGGTAATTAAAGCATTTGTGAGGAACATGAGCACCATGGTATACTGAGAAAGCATCAGGCTGAAAATCTAAAAGTCCAGAACTCTACTCCTAGTGATGCCTGCTAGTTCAGTATCCACAACTGTCAAATGGCTATTGGCTAGATGAGTCTTAGCTCATCCCTTCAAGTTGTATCATTCTAGGAATCCACAAGTTTATGGAGAAAGCAGTTTAATGTGATAAAAGCAAAGAGCTGAGGAAAAAACAGACCAAAGATAATTTGCCAGGATATGCATTTCGAATCCAGTAGTAAATAAAAGAACAAATACTCAAAGAACATCAAGTTGTGAATGGTGCAAAGAATAATGTTAGCAACTATCCTTGATTTTAAGTTTTTTATGGGTTCATTTTCCTTAATCACACGTGAAACTATAACTAAGCTGAGCCAGTCATTCAACAAGTAAGCACATGTTTGAGTATGGAAAACATACTAAAAGGAGATCTAATCACTCCTGCTCCTGAGGCTTACACTGTATAAGTACAAAGCAGTAACCTGCTTAAAAGGGGGAAGAGAAAGTAACAACTGAGAACAAACTGCATATCACAATTCTCCTTTATACCTCAAACAAGCCTGCATTTGAAAAACAAAAAATTGTGAATCTCAGACAAGCTGATTAATTGTTCAGGTTCACAGTGAGAGTAAAATGGCAAAGCCTGGATTCAAACTCAAGTTGGTTTGATCACAACACTCAGGGTTTTTTACATTATTATAGTTGCATCCCAAATACAGAAAAAGGAGAGGTCAAAATTTAAAAGGTTAAGCAAAGCAACCTGAAAGTCTGGCTTCAGCCCAGTCTTGATTTGGTTAAAAAGTCATTCTAGCTAGAGGCAAAGAATCAGCAGAGTTGGGCAAAAGTCAGCAGAGTACAGAATGAACTGGAAAAAGGAGAAAGGAAACAAATTGTGATCATTGAAACAAGACAGTAAATTATAAATAATCCAGTCACTGGTTCAGCACCTGGCACACCTCAGAAATTCATAAATAGTAAATCAATAAAAAAAACCCACAAAGAAACTTTAAGGGTGGCAAGTATAGAAAAACATAAAATAAAAAGCATTTTAAAGCAAGTGACCCAAGTGTAGGGAATTACTTAATATTAGTAACAGTCAGGCCCTGACCGGTGTGGGTCAGTGGTTAGAGTGTCAGCCTATGTACAGAATGGTCACAGGTTTGATTCCAGTCAAGGGTATGTACCTGGGTTGCAGGTTAAGTCCCTGGCCCTGGTCAGTTGGGACTCATATGGGAGGCAACAATCAATGAGACTCTCTCAAATCCATACATTGATTTTTTTCTCCACCCACCCATGCTTCCTTCCACTCTCTCTGAAAAATCAATGGAAAAAATATCCTTGAGGGAGGATTAATGACAACAAAAAAAGGTCAGGCCCTGGCCAGGTGGCTCAGTTGGTTGGAGTGTTGTCCAAAGGTTGTAGGTTTGATAGCTGTTCAGGCACATTCCTAGGTTGCAGGTTCTAGACCTGGTCGGAGTAAGTACAAGAAGCAACCGACGGATGTTTCTCTTTCACACTGGTGTTTCCCTCCCTCTCTCTCTCTCTCCCTCTCTCCTTCCCCCCTCCCCTCTGCCCCTCCCCTCCCCTCCCCTTCCTCTTTATCTAAATTAATTTAAAAAACATATCCTTGGGTAAGGATTTAAAGAAAAAAAAGAATAATCAGTCATCTTTGATTTTTTTTTTTGTCTCCCTGTCCTCTCATATTCATTCTCCCAAATCTAGTAATAGTTTGTAAATTCTCTCTCAAACCATTGCCTTCAAACTAGTTTCTTTTCAGGCTCTTACTATCTCTCCCCTATACTATCTCAATAACCTTTCATTACCCTGATTGACTAACCTCTGCCATCTCCAATCTACACTGTATCCTGCAACCAGAATAAATTTCCAAAAGCACTGCACGGATGATGGCACTCTCCCTGTTACTTTCCTGGTGTCCCACTGAACACTCTGACAGCATATTGAGAGGCAATTTAAAAAACCATATAAATACCTGGTTCGAATCCTGGCTCTGCTACTTACTTTGTAACACTGGACAAATTACAAGTTACTTGACTTTTTGAGCTTACTTTCTCATTTGTAAAAAGGAAATAATACCTTCCTCTCAGACCAGTACTGAAAATATTTAATTTAATTAGCTCAATAAATAATAACTATTAATCCTTCAACAGTCCCTACACTTTCTCATACCTAGATCTTTATTTTAAAATATATTTTTATTGATTTCAGAGAGGAAGATGGAGAGAGATAAAAACAGCAATTATGCGAGAGAATCACTGATCGACCGCTTCCTGCACACACCCTACTAGGGATTGAGCCTGCAACCCGGGTATGTGTCCTGACCAGGATTTGAACCGTGACCTCTTGGTTCATAGGTCAATGCTCAACCACTGAGCCACACCGACTGGGTGCTCATACCTACATCTTTGCTGAGATTTATTTTTTCTTCCACTTTCACTACCTATGCCAAATCCCCACCCATCTTCTAAACCTACTGCATGCTACTCCTTCACAAAGTTTTTTTCTGATCCCCAGAACCAGCACATAATCTCTCCCTGCTCTGTACTTTCACATTTAGTCACAGGAAATGGAGGCAAAGATGCTAAGAAGACTGGATCTGGAGTCCAACAGACTTAAGTATGAATCCTGGCAACACCACACACACTCATTCAGTGACTTTAAGCAAGTTAAAGTTTGATAACAATACCGAGTCACTTGTTTTTAGTAAGCAAATCTGAAACAGTGAAAATATCATAAATGAAATGGTGGCAGAGGAGGAGTATAATAATAACAGAGACTACCAGGTTTACGATAATGTGAAAAATAATCTGGTACAGTAACTGGCATGCAATACAATGGTAGCTATTGTTAACTAGCCATCATTAGCTCACTTATTAAATGCTATATCATAATTATGATATATTTTGTCTTCTCATGTAGAAGACAGCATGACTGAGCAGAAAAACTAAGTCCTAATTCAGTCCTGAAGTTAATAATGAACTTGAATATAGAAGGTATTGTAAAGCAAGCAACCCAAATGCAGGGAATTGCTGAAGAACAGAATCCTAATATTCCTAATAATACAAATAGTGGGATCTTGTGCAATTTGACTTTGAGTCAGTTTGTAAAAAGGTAAAATAAAAACTGCCAGACAAGAGAAGGCTCTTAATAACCATCAGCTAGCCCTCACCCATCTTGTGCCCTGTGTAGTGATACTCAACATATAACAGGAGCACAATACACATCTATTATCAAACACACCTTTGCTCTTGGGAGATGTGTCTGCCTCTGATTGATACAAAATAAGGACACAATCATTCTGCACAACTGGGGTTCTACCATGTGGGAAGAACCCCAGACAAATGCTCAACCTGTGACTAGTCCACAAAATGGAAAGACTTTATAATCTAGAGCATCAACATAGGGAGCTATATTTAAAAATCCAAATGAAGCACATGTGGAGCACATTATCTTTTAAAAACCTTTAAAACAGTCCAGCTGGTGTTGCTCAGTGGTTGAGCATCTACCCATGAACCAAGAGGTCCCTTGTTCGAGACCTGGTTAGGGCACATGGCCGGGTGTGGGCTCGATCCCCTGTAGACAGCTGATCAATGTCTCTCATCTATGTTTCTATCTCTCTATCCTTCTCCCTTCTTCTCTAAAATCAATAAAAACATTAAACACATCCCTTTAAAACACAGTGACCTAATCCAGGTAAGCAAAAGTTTACTAGACCACTTTCCAAAAGTCTACCCAGCCATGAGAACAAACTGAAGATGTATTAAGAAGGCATGAACTCCACTAAAAAAGGAAACCACTTAAAAGTGGTAAATATGGTGAGTTTTATCTTATATATTTTGCAATTTTAAAAAAGTTTAAAAGGGCATAACACATTCCAAAGTACAATGCAAATATGAAGTGCATGAGAATTTAACTTGAACAGGGACTGGGATATACAGAACTAGATTGTTAGATAATATTACTGACTAGAGGCCCGATGCACAAAATTTGTGCAAGAGTAGGCCTTCCTTCCCCTGGCTGCAGGCACCGGCTTCCCTCTGGCACCTGGGACCTGGGCTTCCCTCCAGCCACCAGCAGGCACCTGGGACCCAGGCTTCCCTCGCAGCCCCGACTTCATCTGGAAGGACGGTAGGACATTCGGAAGGACGTCTGGTCTAATTAGCATATTACACTTTTAATATTGTAGATTAACATGAACCCCAAATTAGAGTGACTTTTTTAAAGCCATCATATGTGAGAAAAACTGAATTGCTGCCAAGATTACGATGTACATATTACCTGTAAACCGTTAACAAAGTCAAGGAATTATGTTCAACTGAAAAATGATACTAATTATCTTTGATCTGAAAATGAAAAGGTTACACTATCTTTCAATTTATCAATACTTTCCCACTGTTTTCTACTTATCACATTGATTCAGAATTAAAGCTGGAAAAAAATTCTATAACCTCTATGCTCAATTTACAAGTTTTAGCCAAAGTAATGTCTTAATCCCAGTTAATACAGTAGTTAAATTAGCTTCATCTTTCAAAGTCAATCATATACTTATTTCAGTCATAATAATGCTCAAAACAATAACTCTAAGCTTTTATATGGCATAAAAATGCCATGATCTGACTCCAGTTATCAGCTTCATCTCACTAATCTCTAACTATATTTACAGCACTTCAACAATTACAGCACTCTGCTATAATTGTTGAAGGGTCTGGGTCCTGGTAGGTCTTGCATTTTACAGATATCCAGTGAGCATTTACTATATGGAAAACACTGGGAATCAACATGGTAGATACAGTTAAAAACACCTTTAAATACATTTTCCTGCATCTTTCTTCTATACCAGGATTTTAAAATACCTGACAAAAATCACATTTTATGATTTCCCCAGAAACAAAAAACACTACAATTTATGTCTGAATTTAGGAGGCTGAATCAAAACATGAAAAAGATGACATATCATAACCTCCAAAAAGAGAAGATTTTAAAGGGCTTGGTGCACTCTCAAAAGGCATCCTGCACAGGTCCCTCTTTTTCTGGTCTAATCACTCCTCCTTTCTTGCTTTCCTTTCAAATTTAACTCGGAAAAATTCCACAAATACTTACTTCCTTATTTACAATCATATAAATAAGAAAACACAAAGGACACCATATGCCAAACGTAACCCAGTGGAATCGGACCCTGGGCTTTTCTGGGCACTACAGCAAAGTGCCGCAAAGGTCAGGCCACACTCACTTGGAATAGGTGTCTGTGGCTTCATCCTTCTTCACTTCTGTCTCCCCCTCTGTTTTTGTGCCTTTGTTTGTTTCATCCAGCCAATCTGAGACATGTTTAAGAGCACATTCAACAGTAGACACCATATTCTGAACAGCTTCAAGTTCCTCTGGAGATGGATAGATTGTTGAATGTTTCACCATAACATGGCGATCATCATTGGCAAAAGATCTAATAGATCTCTGTCAGAAGGAGAAAGAAAACAATTACCTCAATTAAAAAAAAATGTTACCTGAAAAAGAAGACAACTATATTTAAGTCAAGTCATAGCATTACTTATCAAACCATTGTGAAATAGTTAATGCTGAGAAAGTAAAAAATTGCTCAGGAATAAGAAGGAAAACCCATTCTACTGAACACACCAAAAAATTAGAGATCTTTCATTCGTGTTTGGTACAGTTCACTCAGGTCACACTTGGTAAGATGTATATGCTACCTTTTAGCTGAATCTGTGTTTTGAATACCACTTCAGAAAAAGTCACCCATATCACACATTATCTGCTAAAAACAGATACTTCCTAGCTTCGAGAGAGTATCTGAAAATGCAGGAAATGCATGATGATGACTCATGATACCCAGTCTCTCCTTTCCAAACTGCTGGAGATTTCTGCACCTTGAAAAACTGAGATTTTATAATACAGTAATAATACAAAATACACCATTATGTATGAACTATAGACACACTAGAATACTATTTACTGTTTGTCATTTAAAACATTGGTGCAAGGCTTTAATTCTTAAAAAAGAGTGGCAGGGGACATTCCAAATTCCAGAACAAGAAAAATACATACAGGGTGGGGCAAAGTAGGTTTACAATTGTGAGTACATGAAACAGAAATTATTCTTGAATTGTTATTTATTAATTATTGTATTATTTTCCATATGAACAGCTGTAAATCTACTTTTGCCCCACCTTATATTGCTAAAGAAATCAACTTCCCAAACTAATTTACATATGTATTACATTCTCAATCAAAATACCCTAAGGATAGTGTATTAATACTGAACATAATTTTATAGCTCTTTAGAGGAGGAAAAAAAAAATCAATGAAAGTAAGAAATATTCTACAAAAATAGATGGGTGGTGCCATTGTGCTAAAACAAAATATCAAAAACTTAAAAAGCAGTAATTAAAATGACTGGTCCAGAAATCAGTGATACTGATTAAAGCCTAGAAATAGGATGAATTTCATGAAAATATAATAGAGTAGATCCTTCACACTCATAAGTCACATATCAAAAACCTTGAATATTTCCAAATTTACAAATACCATGAAGACACTTGTACCAATGCAAAGCAAAATGAACCAGGATAACTTGCTGAGTTTTCATAAAGCCAAAAGTATTCTTTTTTTTTTTTTTTTTAAGGATGGCTACAGTGTCTTTACTTACATGAAATTATGCACTAGTAGGTGGCAAATATTTGCTTTAAAGTCTTTGCCTCAAAATAAAAGATTCACAATTTTGTCAGTGTTCTTTGCTTTGTTTTTATATCAATATTTTAAAAATCTATTAATTTGAACAAATTAATCTATTAATTTGTAAACTAATACTACAGTACAATTATTCCCTATAAAATGCAGCAACTATAACTAAAAAAGTCAGTAATCCTTTGAAACCCTGCTATTAAATTTAAAAAGGACTAAAAGCAATCACAGAAGCTTTCTTCGTTCTAGATAAAAAAATCTTATCTAGATGTCTTTCTTACTCAAAGTCCACAACCAGTCTCCAACTAGAGTTTCTTTTGCCACAAACTTTTTAATCACTTCATGAGATTTACTCATATATCCCAAAAGAGCCATATAACGAATTAGAAAATGCTAGGTTGTTCTAGGGATTATAATTTAGTTGAGTTGCTCTTTAGAGAAGAAATTCTATTAAAATATTTTTGTTCTAAAACCATAAAAATACTAGAGGAATCCACAGGCAGCGAAATCGCAAACATATGCCGAAGGAATTTCTTCTCTGATAATGCTCCTAGGGCAATGGAAACTAAAGAGAAAATAAACAAATGGGACTACATCAAAATAAAAAGCTTTTGCACAGCAAAGGAAACCATCAACAAAACAACAAGAAGACCCACTGCATGGGAGAACATATTTGCCAATGATATCACTGATAAGGGTTTAATCTCCAACATTTACAGGGAACTCATGAAACTTAACAATAGGAAGATAAACAATCCAATCAAAAAATGGGCAAGGGACCTAGATAGACACTTTTCGAAAGAGGACATACAGAAGGCCGAAAGACATATGAAAACATGCTCAAAGTCACTAATTATACGAGAGATGCAAATCAAAACAACAATGCATTATCATCTCACACCTGTCAGAATGGCTATCATCAACAAATCAACAAACAACAAGTGTTGGAGAGGATGTGGAGAAAAAGGAACACTCGTGCACTGCTGGTGGGAATGCAGACTGGTGCAGCCACTGTGGAGAACAGTATGGAGTTTCCTCAAAAAACTAAAAATGGAACTCCCATTTGACCCAGTGATCCCACTTCTAGTAATATATCCTAAGAAACCAGAAACACCAATCAGAAAGGATATATGCACCCCTATGTTCATAGCAGCACAACTTACAATAGCTAAGATTTGGAAACAGCCTAACTGCCCATCAGCAGATGAGTGGATTAGAAAACTGTGGTACATCTACACAATGGAATACTATGCTGCGGTAAAAAAGAAGGAACTCTTGCCTTTTGCAAGAGCAGGGATGGAACTGGAAAGCATTATGCTAAGTGAAATAAGCCAGTCAGAGAAAGATAAATACCACACGATCTCACTCATTTGTGGATTATAGAGAACAACATAGACCACCGTGGGCAAACTACCGCCCACAGGCCAGATACGGCCCATTTGAAATGAATAAAACTAAAAAAAAAAAAAGACCGTACCCTTTTATGTAATGATGTTTACTTTGAATTTATATTAGTTCACACAAACACTCCATCCATGCTTTTGTTCCGGCCCTCTGGTCCAGTTTAAGAACCCATTGTGGCCCTCGAGTCAAAAAGTTTGCCCACCCCTGACACAGACTGATAAACAGGGACAGATCCAAAGACAGAGAAACAGCGATCAGACTATCACTCCCCAGAGGGAAAGTAGGGGAGGGAGGGGGTAAGGGGAAGAGATCAACCAAAGGACTTGTATGCATGCATATAAGCCAAACCAATGGACATGGACAACATGGGGATGAGAACATGAGTAGTGGTGGTGGTGGTGGTGGTGGGGAGGGGTCAATGGGGGGGATAAGGACACATTTGTAATACCTTAACTAATAAAGAATTTTAAAAAATATATATTTTTGTTCTGGATGATAGGAAAAAAAACGCTAACTTTGGATTTTCTCCATCATTTAGTTTTATGATTTACTAAATTACTTAGATTTCTCAGTCCTACACAATGGCCTCACCATAGTAAAATTAGATTGCTATGTAATACAAGCCCTTGGTGTCTCTCTCAAAAATAACACAGACTGCCCATGTTAAGTCCAAGAGCCAACAGGACGTAATAGGGCAAACATCATAAAACAATGGTGAAAGAAAGAGTTCAACAATATGACAAAAAAAAAAAAAAAAATTGGAGGGTGATCTTATTTACCCAAATAAACTCCAAATGGATTTTTAAAGTATTAAAAAATTAAATTGAAAGAACTATGCAGAAATAAAGTTCTCATTAAAATCTGAGATATAACAATAGAAGAAATTGAAAACAACCTACCAACCAATTAAATTATATAAAAACACAAATTTCTACACCAGAAAATCAAAGCTAAATTTAAAATAAACTAGAAAAGAAATTTTCATCAACTAGGACCAATCTATCTATATAAAAGCCTAAGCGACCATCGCAACCAAACGGACAACCGAACAGGCTGCGTGGGGTGACCAGGGTGGCAGGGGGTTAGTGAGGGACGACCAAACAACCAAGCAGCAGGCTGTGTGGGGCGACCAGGCTGGCAGGGGGGACAGTTGGGGGCAACCAGGCTGGGGGTGGGGAGGGAGCGGCAGTTGGGGGAGATCAGGCCGGCAGGCAGAGGCAGTTAGGGGTGATCAGGCTGGCAGGGGGGCATTTAGGGGTGACCAGGCCAAGCAGGAGGGACAGTGAGGGGCAATCAGGCTGGCAGGCATTGGTGGTTAGAAGTGATGAGGCTGGCGGGGCGGGGGGGGGGGGGGGGGGGCAGTTAGGGGCAATCAGGCAGGCAGGCAGGTAAGCAGTTAGGAGCCAGTGGTCCAGGATTGTGAGAGGGATGCCAGATTGGAGAGGGTGCAGGCTGGGTTGAGGGGAACCCCACCCCCGTGCACAAATTTTGTGCACCAGGACTCTAGTAATATATATATAAAGCATTTCTTTAAACTGTAAGAATATCAAGACCATAATAGATAAATGAGCTGAAGTGTTGAATAATTCACATGGGAGGAAACACAAGTCAGTGTCATTTTTTACATATCACCATAAAACTCAGGACAGAGAAAATCCCAAATCAACAACATATTCCCCACCATCCAGAACTAAAATATTAGAATTTCTTCTCTAAAGAGCAATTCAACTAAGTTATAATTCCTACAACTTTTTAAACAATCAAACAACACTTAAAGAAACACTATCAGATTTACTAAACAATGTATTTCAAACATACTGATGATTAATATTTTTGTGTTTTTTCCCCACTTATCTTTTTTAAACCTTTTTTCAGTTATATACTAAAGGGAAAAAATTCACACATTCTCCTGAAACAAAATACTAGGCGGAAATAATCCAACACATTTTACCAATTAAAAAACTAGGCACCAGAGGTTATGACCTCATCTAAATCTCAAATTCAAAAGAATGAACTTTCCACAGAAAACAAGATTTCCTTGATATTCAGTTCAGTGTCCCCAATACAGTTAACACTTGACCTTAATATTTTAAAAGCATGTGGGAAAAGGTGGCTTTTCGAGTTAAATACACATTTTATACACAAATTTTTTTTTATTTCCATGGGGAAAAACAACTGAATTCAAAGAAAATTACACAACTTCAAGTTCAAGGTCACATCAGCCATTGGTATATTTGCTGATGCCAGTTTTATTAGAAAATATTATTTATGAACATTCCCTCCTTTGTACTTAATAATTTATGGTCTGCAGGCTCATGGGGCTCCATCTTGTGGTTTAAAGGGCTCATAATAAATCTGAACTCATTTCTTTGCCTAAATGGTAGAGTGCCTTCTTTATCTGATGCACTAGAGCCAAAAATTAACACCATTGTTTTTCACTTGCCCTCCTGTTAACACTTCCAATTTTAAACTATTGGCATCTTTTGTAACTTAATTAAGAAACATAAATAATAACCTACCATGGTTTCCTACAGTGTTTTAGCTTCTTTTTCCGATCCTTTCCCCTCTTTCTTGTTGTCTTCACCAGACACTGTTTTATGTGACAGTACCTCCTCATAAGCCTGAGTCCCCTGACAACTCAGAGTCAATACAGCAAAGGTTTGAAGACTGCTCTCTGAATTACACCTGCAAGAGAAAATAAAACCAACTTCTCAAAAATGCTTATTTACTATCAGTTTCATATCTAAGTGTGGAGCCTATAAGCATGTTATTGACTAAAAAGAAACAATCTTTACAACAGCAACTACCTCATTTCAAACAAAAAGCTAAAACGGGCTTTGAAGGCCTGGGCCCATGAAAAAGTGAGTCTAAGTCAGTGGTTGGCAAACTGCGGCTCGTGAGCCCACATGCGGCTCTTTGGCCCCTTGAGTGTGACTCTTCCACAAAATACCGACTTCTGCACATGGGCCACGAAGTTTTAATCGCACTGTACGTGCGCACCTGCACGTGGTATTTTGTGGAAGAGCCACACTCAAGGGGCCAAAGAGCCGCATGTGGCTCGAGAGCTGCAGTTTGCCGACCACTGGTCTAAGTGATATGGCCAGAAAAGCAACCCCTTCCTGGTAGTCACAATGTGGCTGGCAGCTAGCTGATTTGCTCTCAATTAGATAAAGATATTAACAAACATAGTACCACCACCTAAAATAAGTAATAGTACTATTGTTGGCAACAATGTTGCAATTAACCTTGAGATTTTTCTATTGGACACTGGCATTAATCAGACCTATCCAAAAAGTAGATAAGACACCTGAAAATATACCACCACCAATTGTAACCATGAGCCTTTTCAATTTGATAGAACCACTAGACGCCCCTGGTGTGTGTGTGTTTGGGGGGGTCCCCTCAGCCAAGCCTGCACCCTCTCCAATCCAGAACCCCTAGGGGGATGTCCAACTGCCGGGATTGGGCCTAAACTGGCAGTCGGACATCCCTCTCACAATCCTGGAATGCTGGCTCCAAATTGCTCACCTGCCTGCCTGCCTGGTCGCCCCTAACTGCCCCCCTGGCCAGCCTGGTCACCCCCAACTGCTCCCCCCC